ATGGGCGTGCCTAGAGAGAGGGGGGATGGGGAGAAAATCTCCGGAAGAGAGACGGTCTGAGATAGTTGTAGAGAAATTGGTGAGGATGGAAGAGAGAAAAGAAGAGTAGAACAAGAGGGTTTTAGAAAGAGAGAAGATCTGAGGTAGACTTGGAGAGGGAGGGAGAGATACTTAACGAGGGAGAGAGAGAAAGGTGCAAGAGGTTCATAAGAAGAGAGAGAGAGAGAGGATCTGAGATAGGCTTGGTGAAAGGGGTGGGCAGAAAGCAGGGGGTGTTTAAAGAGAGAGAAGCAAGGGGTCTAGGAAGAGAGTCTGATGTAGAGAGCCTTAGAGAAGGGGATGGTATTAGAAAGGAAGGGGTATTGAGAGAAGCAAGTGGGTCTAGGAAGAGTGTCTGAGATAGCACACCTTAGAGAAGGGGATGGTCTTGGAAATAATGGGGTATTGAGAGAGGGAGAGAAGCAAGGGGGTTTAAGAAGAGAGTCTGAGGTAGAGAGCCTTAAAGAAAGGGATGGTCTTGGAAAGAATGGGAAATTGAGAGAGAGAGAGAGAGAGAGAAAAGCAAGGGGTCTAGGAAGAGGATCTGAGGTAGAGAGCCTTAGAGAAAGGGATGGTCTTGGAAAGAATGGGGTATTGAGAGAGAGAGAGAAAGAGAGCGGAAAAGGGTGAGGAAAGCATCTTACAGCAGTGTGGTCTTAGAGAAAGAGAAAGAACAAGGGACAGAAGGAAAGAGATGAGAGATGGGTGGGGGGGGGGGGGGGGGGGGGGGGGGGGGAGTTGCCAAAGAGAGATTCTTAAGAATTTGGGAGGGTAAGAGAAAGAGAGAGTACAAGAAAACTGCTGAAAACTATTCAGTCAATCATGAGTAAGCCTAAAAAGGCCTTGGTGTAAGCTGGTTGAGGGCCTATGCTCTGTTGAAAGATACAAGGCAGAAGAAGAAACAGGCAACATTTGTACCATGGGTACTTCTTCCTTCTTAGCGTTTACTGGCTGTAAACTCCACTGTCAGAACGTTCTGGTAGCTCATCCACTTCTGGACTTTGGTTGTGTTCCAGACCCTGAGTTTCGAGTGTACATCTGTTTTACAAATCTGACTTATTTATATATATACATACTGTTGGTTTCTGACCTCTCAGACATATGCACCCCAACTTCGAAAGACGAAAACATCCCTAATTAATGGCCTTTTACAGCCAGCTTGTGGGATAAGATGCAGTTGTACATAATTTTCTGTTTGAAAAAGAGCAGTGGGCGTAATGTTTTATTCTGATAAAGTGCAATGGTATATATAGCAGTAACCTAGTAAAGTGCAGTAATATGTCAAGCACCCCAGCTGCTGAATGAATTCATTTGTCCTGATCATGTTTGACTGTTGATCCAAATTCAGATCAATTTACTTATATGTGATTACAATTTTGCCTTTACCAGCCTCAGTTTGAGCTATGATTGGTGTCAGTGGATGCCGAAATAGAGCAGTAACTATACTACTTGCTTACTGGCCCATTTTTTATATGTTTGAATCCCTCTGAGGATGGGATTTCAGTCCCTTGTAGGCCCAGCCAAAAATGAGTAGCAGAAACCTACTTGGGATGTAAATGGACTGATGTGATACTGTGCTTCCACCAAAAATAATCCCTGGCATGATTTTTCAAGGTTGAACTGAGAATCTACATCACAGCATTCGGGACACTTCTATAAGTGCTCAGTCCCCATCTTCAGCAGCAAGCGAAGCATTCCATTTCCGATGGTACCAGTAACTGATTGTATTTCCGTCTCATCCTTCTCCTGAGTGTTGAGCTTTGGCCAGATCCACTGGTAATTCCTTGCAAGACCATTCTCCTTAGACCGTAATGATCTATCTGCGCCTCTGCACTGTTTAATCGCTCCCAAAGGGCCCTCACAATATCTAACTTGAAATATACATTATTTTTCAGGGGGCTTTTAACATAAGCCCTACCCTAAAATTAAGCCGAAGTCTCATGAAGACTTCATGGGATGAAATCACTGACATCCATGCTGCCAGTGCACTATGAGCAGGCTACATGAAGACGAAATTCTCAGGAAAGCTTTACTGCTGGACATGATTGACTGGGGGGCAATCGTACTATGGGAAATGCATTAAGAGGCTACACAAACTATTTCTCATTCAAGAAATTCGGACTGGAATTAGGGTTTTGGAATTAGGAATTATGAGGATGTTCCAGAAGGAGATGACATAACTGATTTGCATAAATGTAGGATTCTCTTCATGAATAAATGTAGATTTTTGTGTTTGAAAAAATGACACAGGAAATTGAGAATGCCTTCCAGGAAAAAAAGAAAGTTCTTGCTGTTTTCTTTGACCTCTCTCGTGCTTTCGATACAGTTTGGAAAGAAGGCCTACAACTAAAAACGCTACAGGCAGGAGTTGTGCACAACATGTACAAGTGGATTAAAGACTTTCTTTTCCAACACAGAGCCAGATTTCAGAATTGATGGACACATCGGCAAACTGGCAAAACTAAGAGAAGGAGTTCCCCAGGGCAGTGGGATAGCACCAACTCTGTTCCTGGTTCACATAAATGATATCACAGCAACCTGCCACCAGCACATTTCAAATACCCTACATGCCGATGACTTTGCAGTTTGCACAGCCTCCGAATACACTACTACAGCCTCATATCTGTTACAGAAAACTGTGGAAAATGTAGAAGCCTGAACCGAAAAGTGGGTCTAAAGCTAAATAATTAAAAAAGTACAGCATCACTTTTCTCTCTCTCCCCCAAAAACGAAAAAAATCTAAATTTGGATTAAAAACCAGCTCTTTCCACAGACTGACACTCCTACCTGTGTTGGCGTTACACTTAATTCGCGACTAACTTGGAAGTCACATGTAGAAGCAGTACAGGGGAAAGCATTCAAGAAGCTTGCAGTGATGAAAAAATTAGCGGGTACCACATGGGGCACTAACTCCAGAATCCTAAAACAAGTATATACTGGAGCAGTCAGGCCAGTCATGGAATATGCCTACACTGCATGGGCTGCAGCAGCCAAGACAACAATGGGAAAACCGGACAAGGTTCAGAATATGGGATTAAGGATTGTTCTCGGAGCCATGAAAACCACCCCCATCAGAGAGATAGAGAGGATAGCAGATACTGAACCACTCGAACTCAGAAGACAATACAAAACTCTTTTACAGTATGAGTAATTAAAAAGACTTCAAAGTCACCCACTGCATTTTAAATTTCAAGAGAGAACAAAAAACAGACTGAAGCGTCAGAGCCCCAACCACCTAGCTAGAGAGCTGTACAGACAGCACCAAGATCTGCTTGAAAGAGATGTTGCACTTAGGCCAGAACCATGGACAAGCAAGCCAGAGAAGGCAAATGTAGTCCTAAAGGTACCAGGGATCACTTCAAAAGATGCCCAGACGGAGACACAACAGAGAACCCTGGCTCTTGCTATGCTTGATGAGAAGTATCTAAACACCACTTGGACTCAGGTTTTCACTGACGGCTCTGCTACAGATGCAGTCAGAAAGGAGGGTTATCGAATATACATTAAACCCCCTAGCAGTAGAGCAGAAATTCTGTCAATACCAGCAGGTGACATCTGCACTAACTTCAGAGCTGAGGCAACTGCCCTCCTTTCTGCAGTCCAACATCTCATCACTCGAGAACACAGAGGGCACAAAATTGTTATACTTAGTGACTCATTGTCTGTTCTCCAAGCACTTTCCAGCAAAAAACAAGACAAACTAATTGCAGATCTAAGGACCAGCATTGGCTTACTCTCCAATGAAGCAGAACTGGTCTTGCAGTGGATACCAGCCCACTGTGGTATTCAAGGAAATGAGAGAGCAGATGAGTTGGCAAAAGCTGGGAGTAATCTTCCACAACCTCATCCACCACACAGCTACAAGGAAACCAAAACAGCGCTAAAGCAGTCTTTCAAGTGAGAGTGGAGAAGGCAGAATGGAGATTACAGACCAGAGAGTGACAGCATAAAGAAACTCAACAGGAAAGAACAAACATCAATTTTTAGACTTCGGACTGGACACTGTGGTCTTCGAGCATACTTGTACAGGATAGGCATAAAAGAATCTGCTGCCTGTGATTGTGGAGCAGAAAGACAGACCCCTGAGCACATACTGCAGTACTGCCCTAACCTCTCCCAGCAAAGACTGTGGATCTGGCCCAAGGGAGCCACATTGCAAGAGAAGCTATGGGGGACAGGTGGCGACCTTAAACGCACAATCCTATTTGTGACCCAGACAGGACTGTTTAGCATGACTGATGTCAAACGCAGAAGAAGAAGAAGTGTCTGAAAAAAAAAATAAATCATCCCCTGAATAAAAGACCTAGTGAATGTTTTAAAGCAAAAATTGATATAAAACCATGTCTTATTTTTACAGAAACATAACATCGAGGGCCAGCTGGTGTGATATTGTGAGGCTAGCAGCATATAAACAGCGTGGTGGTAACCACATCACCCACCAAGTGCCGATTGGCCTAAACAATATAGGCCTAGCCCTATATGCCCAATAAGCCTCAAGGCATGGAAAAAGGTCCTTTCCTTGAAAGTCAGAGTGCATCTGCTTGAGAGGCAAGAAACAGTTTGCATACAATTACAAACATTGCATGTATTGTATACATGCAGCATTAAAAATTCGAAGAATTTTTTTTCTTCATTTTTTTTCTTTTTACTGTGAATGATTTTATGTCCATTCATATCTTTCTAACTTCTTCTTTCTGTTAATTTAAATGTTTAAGATTGTTATTTCTCCCATCTTCTTTCTTTTAGTTTCACTTTCAAAGAAGTGACAGATTTTAATATCTATTCTTTTTTTCTTCCATCTTTCTGTTAGTTTCACTGTGAAAGAAATTACAATGTCCATTCTGTTCTTTCTCTGGTCTTTTCTCTCATAGTCTCACTTTCAAAGATGTAACGTACAAACGAGGTGAAAGAAAGTATGTTTATTTACCTCTCAGGCTCATATGTTTTGTTTGCTTTTTCAGTGAATGGATCAAGCAGCTGAAACGTAAAGAGAAAGGCCAAACACCTAGTTTGCTGAGAGCTCTAATATACACCTTTGGCCTACAGTACATGTTGGTGGGCATTGTTGTCTTTCTGGAGGTAGGTTTTTAAAATGTATGTTCCCTGTGTGGGTTCCAGGGTCCCATTGTGAGGAAAGGAATAGACCCACTGCCTCCCCAACAAGCATGTCGTAAGTGTTGACTAGTTGGGGGTGTCCTTTAAAGTCGGAGTGCTTTTGCTTGAGAGGCAAGAAACAAACAGTTTATATACAATTGAGTATATACGTTTTGTATCTATAAAACAGATGTGCATGCAACACTCAGATTCTGGAACAAGTCTAAAGTCCAAAGGTGGATGAACAACCAGAAATTTCCACCAGAGTTTAGAGCAGGTGAACGCCAAGAAGAAGAAGAAGAAGAAAATGTATGTGTAGGCGACTGTGATCTGGTTGTGTGGTAGATTTCTGATCAGTATAGTGTGTTGCAGTTTGTGTCTTATATACGTTAGTTTGCAATTTTTTTTATAATTAAAGCCATGAGACCCGCCCTTATTCCACAATTGTCCCAGAATTTCAAGCTCTTATTGTGGAAGACTTTTTTTATTTACTTTGAACAAGTCTGACCTGCCCACTCTACCTACAACTTCGAAAAGACACCTGACCTCAAGAGAAAAGTGTGCAGAGCAAGCTATGGGAAACCATGAAGGACCTGATACTGACATGCGAGTTCATAGAGGCAACCCACCTGATGGTCTGATCTGAGCATATGAAACCGAACGCAAAGAAGAAGAAGAAGAAGAAGAAGAACAAGTCTTATAAGTCACACTCACCATTGACGTGGGCTGTGAGTCCTATGCCTCCCTATAGGGAAGTATAACACTGTTGTCTGGAAAGGTGCCACCTGAAACAGCTAACTGGTACTTTCAGACTACGAGGTGGTTCCCATTAAACAGGGATAGTAGAATGATGTATATGATATACATATGTTCTTTGTCAATAGAGATGAGAAAGAGAATTCTGAAAAACTATATAAATCCTATCTTGATATATGGAAATGAATCATGGACAGTTGGTAGATTAGGGAAAACTTATTTGGAAGCTGCGGAAATGTGGTTTTAAAGACGGGGGATGAGAATACCCTGGACAGATAAAAAGATAAATAAAGACGTCTTGAGAGAAACTGACTCATGAAGAGAACTAATTGCCTACATCAGAAAGAGACAATCTACCTTCTTTAGTCATTTAATGAGAAGGAGAAAACTGGAGTAAATAGTGACAGTAGGAAAGTTGGAGGGGAGGAGAAGCAGAGGGAGACCGAGAGAAAAAGAGAAAAGGTGATGGACAGTTTCATATCATAGCATGGAGGATCATCTGTGTCAGAGTTGACTGAAAGTACACAAGACAGCAGGTTGTGGATAGACATGACTGCCAACGCCACATGGCATGGACTCTAAGAAGAAGTAAAATCCTACATCTCATCAGATGAAAAGATGGGCAGAACATTTCCAAGAGACTTTAAAGAGATCTAGTCCTTGAGAACCAAATTTTGTTGAAGAGGTAAGAGTAACCACATTACTCATAAATGAGGAGAGATAAATATCACAGGAATCAAAGAGGCAATTAATTTGTGAACAGACTTTAAGGCAGGGGGTGGTTATGATATTACTGCAGAAATGCTCAGGGCACCAGATGATGTAACCATAAACATAATACTCAGGGCACCAGATGACGTAACCATAAACATAGTACTCAGGGCACCAGATGATGTAACCATAAACATAATACTCAGGGCACCAGATGATGTAACCATAAACAGAGTAAAAGATCTGTTCATTAGCGTATTGGTGGGGGGTTAGGGATACCAGATTAGCTATTAAAAAACCTCAGGGCACCAGACTAGATGCTGAAATTGGTGGGGGGTTAGGGATACCAGATTGTATTAAAAACCTGTGCATAGAAAACAATGGCATAGTAGGAAAAAACACACAATTGGATAAAAACAACCAGTGATGGCATGCAAAGAAAAGCAGATAATTTAGCAAATTAGGATCAAATATTAGTCTACAAATCAGTTAGGAAAAGAAAATATCCAGAAGATGCCAATGGCAGATCAAGCAGACACCATTCCTGAACAAACAGAATTAAAGTAACAGATCAGTTTATCTGTTTAAATATTAGTTTTGCTATGGAAATTCAAAGAAAGAAATGATCATACATATTAAAAAGAAATGATTGTACACATTAGCAAAATATTAGCAACTTTTACAAGTTTTCAGTCAGATATAAACTAAAGTATTTTTTTAATGTGATTCGTTTAAAAAATTAGTGAACTTGGACTGTAATCAGTCTAATTAAATTCGTCAAAGAACAACAGATTAAATGGTTTGACCATCTGAAAGACTGCCCTGATGCCACCTGCCACAGAAAGTCTCATTAAAGAAATATAATAAGCACAGATCAGACCAACATTAAAGCCACAGTTTCATGAAACAGCGGATCAAAGTCCACTCACACAGTGCATCTTAGCACATAGAATATGCATTTATCTCTCCACAACACATCATGGGGTAAATTGGAGGAAAAGAAGATAAAAGACAAGAAGAATAGAAAGTGATATACATTAAGTTTCTCCTCCTTGGTGTCCTGTTCATTTCACATTCAGGTAACTACAGTTTAATCTTCATCGCAAACGGGTCCCTCCATAGCCGCTCCATTCACATGCCAATGAAAACTACACAGAATGTCGATCATCACCCCTTGTGAAAACATTGACACAAATGGCAGTCTCAGCCAAACCAGTAGCGTACACACAACATGAAATACATACGGCCCGCCGCCATCAGAAATGCTTACTACAGAGCAATGCATGTTAATTTTCTACTGTAAAGCCTCAGATAAATGTTAAAGTTAAGAGGATTGACTTCATTACACCAGGTTTTATCCCACCTGGCCTGGTCTTTGTCAGCAGAATGGCTAGCCACTTGCTGAAAGCTTTGCATGAGGCACAAAAACTGTAGCTCTGGCAACAATCCACAATGGTCTCTGTAAAAATTGTACTTATGGACCAGAGACACTGCCACGAAACAAACCCACAACCTTTAGAATGTGAGGCAAATGGCTTGACCACTTCACCTTGGAGATTTCTTAAAATGGCAGCTAAGCACAACACAGCATGCCAACAACCCAACAACCCTTTTAAGGATAATTGCAGAACGAACAAACTTACAAACTTTATTTTCAAAGGGTCACAAATTGGCCATGCAGACCCATTTTACATTAAACTTCTCCGAACACTCATTTTTCAGACCATATTTGTATTTTATCAATAAAGCATGTTCATACATTTAGAAGAAGAAGCTAGTTACTGTGTGGTTCAGCTAAACTGTATACTACTAAATGGCTCTCCCCATTTTAGAAAGCGAAAATGTAGTGAACATAGAGCTTCAAGTACTAGCACATATTACATTTGATGTTAAACACATTAACAGTACAATTATTCTGTTGTGTTCTTGCACAGTGATGACATTTGATTCACTGCCCGGCCACTCAACCTTCATCTATTTAGAAATTTTTTTACTGACAGAGACATACAGCAGAAGTGTGTACTTTACATTCAGCCTCTATTCATGTGTCTGTCCCCAGTCATTGTGTCAAATTGAGTTTGAACTGTGCCTCAGCGAGTTTGCATTGTGCTGTAACATCTTCACATAATTATTGCCTGTAATATTTTACAAATACTGCTTTGCAAAGATAATTTTATACATTACAATTTTAGGAGCTTGAGTTGAAGGCAGTGCTATGTTAATACGTTGGTTTGAAAACTGGTATTATTTCAGTTTTTTGTAGAAAAGAGTTTTTAGGGAAGGGATTAATTTGTACTGACCAGTGTGGTTTTGGGGAGCTGCAGCAGCATAGATGCAATAAGGCAAATTTTTTTTGTTTTTTTTTAATTAACTTTGGCTCCCAAGTCAACCTAGCCTAAACTGGGTACCAGGAAGTAAAGGCAGCTGGCATGATGTTGACCACATCACCAGTTGAGTGTCGATGCAGATTCAAACTCAAGGTATTTGGATCTGTGGGCGAGCATCTAGCCACTATGCTAGCACAGCTCCCTGAGCAGATCTAGACCAGAATAATGTTCTCTTTTATGCACATATTGAACATTCTTGCAGCATGTAAACTGTCATTTAAACAGTTCATGTCAGAGCAATAGTCAAAGCTTCACAGCAACAACATCTGTGGCAGCTTTCACTTAGTTAACACACTTGCTAAACTGAAAAAACCTCATTGCTGCCAGGCCTCGCACACAGACAGAAACACTCTTCTCAGCCTCATGTGGGGAGGGAACATCTTGTTCCTAGTCATCATATGATCATTATCATCATCAAGGGTCATGCCAGCGGGTGCGAGCTATCATGCCTCTCCACCATCTCTGATCTTCAGCAGCATGTATATCAGTTCGTGTGCTGACAACCCTCTGTGTCATGACACAAGGCTGTCAAGAATCTTTGTGTATTGTTCTCCTCTGTCTCTTTTTTCCACAGATCTTTCCAGTGGGGGTGGTTTTAAAGCCGAGGGAGTTGACTGAAAATAAATAGGGGGGAGGGGGTGGTGCCTAGAGAGAAGGTAGATGGGGAGAGAATCTTCGGAAGAGAGACGGTCTGAGACAGATTCCACAGATCTTTCCAGTGGTCACAACATGTAATATCGATTGTAAAATGACACTATTGTATCATGCTTATTTATCCTTCAGTTCACTCAGTACAAACTTGTATGTTCATTACAAACACAGAAATAACAAGAATGTACATTTTTTTCTTGAGTGAAAGAGAAAAAAGAATGTTTCAGTTCAGTTTCCTATTGTTTTATTTATAAGTCAACGTCAGTTTAATGCCTTTCCATTCACTTATTTACTGAGTCATATGTTTAATGCAAACCAGAAATAGCGAGAATATTCATGTTTTTCATGATTGAATGAAATACAAAATGTTTCATTACAGTTGCCTTGGTCGTATTTAATGAGTCACTTTCGCTTTATATACCCTTCCATCTATTCACATATTGATTGACTTATCCATTCAGTACATCTATTGAAATAACAGGAATATATAATGTATCACAGGTAGTCCCCAGTCAGCTGGGACCTTTGTACCCCCCCCCCCCTTTTTTATTTTTTTTAAGCTGTGCTACAGATCCCATTCTTGTTAGTAGTTATACTGTAGAACTTGTTATAATTTATGAATATTCGTTATTTTCATGTAGCAGGTCCTTTGCAGAACATCGCTCTCATCATGTCTGCCTGAAAGAAACTCAGTCTCTTGCCAGTTCTCCCACCTCATGTAATTTCATATCGATTGAGTCCATTGTATCTTGTGCATATTAAAATCACACAAAAAGGGACAGCATTCTAAAGTTAAAGTTTTGTGTTTGTAAATGTCACTGACTACTTAGATTTGTAATGCTGATGGTCTGTAAAAATATGGACGCTCTGCCCAAATGCCAGATGCGCCGAAAGGCGTGAAAAGGGAACTTTACTTTTACTTACTTAGATTTGTTCTACTGTCTCCTAGGGGCCTGCAGATCACCAAATGGGAAAGACTGGCTTACACAGATAAACAAGAAAAATATTTTACACCACAGTTTCTATGGGTTTAAGAAAAAAGTAGCTTTAACTAAAGGTCAGGAAGAGAGTTCTGAAATATTTAGTCTAATCTCTTCTGATACATGGCAGTGAATCTTGGTGAGATTGTCAGTTTCTTTCCCTCACCCCTATCCGGTTACTATGCTAGGACCACTCCCAAGCTTGGCTGAAAAAGGAACAAGGTCTGGTTGAACCTGAGTGCTTCCTGTGTCTGTGGAAGGGGTGATGGGTAACCATTAGTCAGCCGGATGGCCTCAGGGAGGTCTTAGGAGTCACCCTCTCCACCATTCATAGGCAAAACAGTCTAATCATCTGTTTGTCTGAAACTGTGATTACAAATTGGCAGAGAGAGAAACACTGGATGGACACCTCTATACGATATAAAAGGTTAGACCAAGCAAGTTAGTAAAACACCTTTCCTTGCTAAAAGAATTCCCAGAAAATTTCTCAAAATTGACTAGTAAAAATTGTCCTGGGCTGTCTCACAATTATTAGGGAAGAACATATGGGCTTTTGAGCTGAAATGCTACAGAAAGATTCTTAGAATACTATGGACCAAGAAGAAATGAAATATCGATATCCTTAAAGATCTGGACATCAAAGAAAATTGGCTCATAAACAGCAACATGTCTGGAAAGCTGAAATACTTCAACCATATGAAATGCCACCTGGATTGGAAAGAACTGGCTAAGAGGGGCAGGGGTTGCCGTGCACAAAGATGGGCACAGGACCTAAGAGACACTTGGACGCATGAAAACGGATGTAAATGCTAGCCAGAACAGGCGAGGGCTGTAACTATAAAAATTTTTTTTTTTTAACCTTTCAGCATCCAGTGAGGGAAGCCGCGTTCTGTAAAACATCTGATGACCCTTTATTGTAAAGCTAGAACACCCCCCTCCCCTCCCAACCCAACCCAAGTCATTCTGGTCAGAAAAAGAAAAAAAAAATAAGCCACTGCTGGTGAGGGAACCCAGTCCCTTTTCCAGGCTGACACTTTACAGCTCTGATTGTGTTTGACGTTCTTTGTTGTTTTTACAGGAAGGCACAAAAGTAATTCAGCCCCTTCTGTTGGGAGGCCTCATACGCTATTTCACTCCTGACTCAACCGTCAGCAAGTTGGATGCATGGCTGTATGCACTTGGAGTGTCCTTGTGTGCCATCGTTCTAGCAATCTCTCACCATCCATACTTCTTCTGTGTCCAGCGGATTGGCATGCGTATGAGGGTCGCCTGTTGCTCCTTGATGTACAAAAAGGTAACAGGATTGATACTATATGGATCTCATTTTTTTACTTGAAGCACAAATGAAGTATTTTAATTTTCACAGGGTTACGAATTGGACAAATGAGCTGTCAGAGAATGACTAGAAGAGACCAAATCAGGAATTAGGTCATAAGAACCATTTCTAATTACATACAAAGGCAGCAAAAAACAAAATGGTTAGTCCACTTAAAGAGAATGTCTTGTGATGCCATACCATACAGTGCATACACCAAAAGATAAGATGGACAAAGAGCATGAGGTAGAACAAGATGGAAAGGTAACATCAGAGAAACTACAACAGCATGATGTCTGTGGTCGAGGTGGCAGGAAGTGCAAGAAACAGAACCTTTTATCTCCCTCGACACCCAAAGCGGTAAAAGAGGAAGTGAAGAAGAAGAGGAATGGAGCATGCAAGCACATCAAACATTCTGGCATTCTGATCTCACTCCTTTCAGACATGCATTAAATCATCTTTCAGCAAGTAGTATCAAACATCATTGATAACAATAAATAAATGTTACAAAGGTTGGAATAGGCTCAAATTATACTTCAATTTATAAATAATAATAATTCTAGGATAATTATAACAATTATATGGCAATGTTGGAGAATACTTTATATGTGATGATTGATAGCAGGCCTGCCTGTTGCTGATGTATCAAGGACAGTTTCCTTGTGTGACACTACACTGGCGTTGATATTTAACAAAATGGTGTATAGGTTCCAGGGCCCCTTTTTGGGGGAAAAGGAACAGACTCACTGCTCCTAAGGTCACAAATTGGGCACTTGTCTAATCACATTTGACCCTTTCAAATGCCATCTTTGACACTCCTAGTATATTTTTATCAACAAAGCATGTCATGTTCGTATAAGAAAATACATAATATGAGCAAAAGGTAACAACAAAGAAAAAGGTATGACAAATTAAACTAACAGATGTATATTGTTAAGGTAGTTCCATGGCAGATTCTGCCATCGTTATGTGAAATGTTAGGCTTATGTTAGGCTTTTACATGGCATAGTGAGGTTATGGGAACAGTTTTCACTCTCAAAGCCATTGTTTCTCTAATACATAATGAACCCCTACTCATCTTATGATGCTGGGTCAACTCTAGATCGAATCTAGAATGGGGAAGAAGTAATCTCACCTGTGTTGAGAATTGAACCCAGATCAGTGTCATGGTTAAAGGACGCTTTTTTACGCCAGTTCGGAATCCTGATGCTAGGCTCATAATGTTATAGACCAGTCAATACTTGGAGGGTGATGTGGTCAACATAACCTCAGCCATTTTTCTTCAGGTGGCATTACTCGGTACCCAGTTTGTGGTGGGTCGACCTTTGAGCCAAGGTCAGTTTGGAAAAGAATCTGCCTTAGTGCTTATTCAAATCCAAGACCTTTTGGCCAGGGAGCATCTTGTTGCTGAGACTCTTCACATGTTATGGTTCATGGCTTAATTAGATGAGAAGACTCTTTCCCATTTCTCATCCTCAAAGCCGTTCCTTCTCAGACACTTCTGATAATATTCTGATAATTATCCGCTGCCCGTTATATAAGGTTGGGTCAACTAAAAATCCCATCTCCACCATCATCGTTAATCTGCAAATCCTTTATAGAATATGACTCTTCGTGTCATGCATGAAAGTCTCCCTTTCTCCAGCTAAGCCCAGTGTTCTTTCATAGCTAATGCGTTTTTTTTTCTACTGTCTTGTTTCCACCTCATCAGAGGTAAGCATCTACCTCGTTTTCCAGTAAACTGCACACTTCACCACCATTCTCTCCAGGCTACCAAGACGCTTAATATGGCCAAAATACCCCAGCTTCCAGGACAGGATGCTGTCTATAAGCCTGGGATGTGGGTGTTTTTCTTCTTGTTGGTCCACACTGTTCCTAAATTTGTCAGTAATACTTCTACTCTAGTTAGGGGGGGGGGGGGGGGGGGGATAAAACAATCTCACTTCTACTGAGAATTGAACTCGAATTGTCTTCATTAGTAAGAATATTAACTTAGTAGCTGTGCTTGGTACAGTAGCTCCTGCAGTAGATGTGTATGTATATCAAATGTTTGTAAAAGTTTACCATTTTCATGCCTTCGTTGCATCTCCATAGAGACCTATTTTTTTTATAAGAAGTGCTAAATATAACACAAATGTGACTAGAAAGCTCAACGGAGGCAATGGAAAAGATGCACACAAACACAACCGAACATTTTGACCAAAGTCTTTACCAACATACTACCAAATACAGCACAGACTGTGACTGGAAAACTCAACAGGCAAGACAAAAGAGCTAATATTTTTATATTTACCCATCTGCCTCAAATATACCATATCATAGTCCTTATTTTCCCCAAACTCAGCTGGCAAGGCATGACAGGAAATGTTGAATTTGTTTCTGCAAATTAAGATATATTTTTTGTGTATCTGTGTGTTTGAGTGCTTGCATGAGTGTGTATTCAGATGTTTATTCCCTGGAAATATGACGGTGTCAAGGGCCTATGTGGCTGTGGGACAACTGTAGGGGATAGTGAATAATAGTGAAGATGACTGCTTAGTGACTACACGTTCAACAGCCCACAAGAGTTTCCGAATAGGACATTATGATGGACAAATGAACACTCCAGAATTGACAGAGATTCAACTGAGCCAAGGGTGAACGGCGGACCGGACAAAAGGGACAGGGAAAGCGTTTTCAGGGAGTTGGTGGAGAGATTTGGACAAGACATGTTGTGTTTTGAGGGCTAGGTTTTACCGCAGTTGATTTAAGTTAGTGTCGGTTAGTTCGTGATAACGTGTTAGCTTGTTGGTATTGTAATTTACATTTCAGTTAGGCAGTCTAACGTATGTGGTCTAGAGAGATAGTCCATTGAGTTTAGTTATAGTTGTTTTCACTCAGGTTCTTAGCTGTGTCTCTGCGAGGTGGTTTGACAGTTTCAGAAGAAGAATATGATGATGTCATGGACACTGTATTCAGGTGATTCATATTCTGTCTGATCAAACCCAATAGAACCATGCAGTCACGCACCAGTCGTGGTGTAGCTTGAAGAGGTGCAGGAATGAGCTTGGATCGGATGCTTTTGGTTCGGACCTGGTTAATTCCTAGAACAGCTAGGTAGCCATTGTGTGAGTTGCAATTTTAAAGCCGGTTGGGGTCGGCTTGTAATTAGAACCACCTCTAGAGCTAACTGCCTACAGTTTTCTGTAACTACAATAAAGGCTAATGTGTGTGTTCTGACGATGAGTTGGGTTGAGTTTAGAATAAATATCAATGTCATATCAATGAGCCATGCCATTAAGGTGATAACCAGGTTTGTGGCTGATGGCATGATTTGATCTTCTTTTCTTTCGGATGAGACGGAAGAAAGAAAGAAAGAATGAATGAATAAATAAATTAATTAATTAATGAAAAGAAAGAAAGAAAGAAAGAAACTCGCGCTTTAGATGTATTTGATCCTGCCACCAGCAGATCTTGCATATAACTTATTTAACTGCATTTTACTGTGTGCATTAATTTGCTCTCTTGTCATTTTTATGGCCCATCTTGATGATGTTTGTAGGCTCACAAAATCGAGTGTGTGCAGAATATTATTCACTGGGAAAACATTTCAGTGTGCTCATAAACTCACACCTACAGCACGTACTGACACTACAAGCCAAAACTCGATTTATGAATACACTCGTGTGTGTGTGTGCGCACGCATGCACACACACACACTTACACACACACGTGCACGCGCACACACAGAGAGAGAGAGTGACTGACTGACTGACTGACTGACTGACTGACTGAATGCACACTACAAACTAAAAGGCTTCCTTGCATACACACATACTCAAACTACAAGCTCAAATACTTCCATACACGCTTGTATGCACTTACAGAATGAGAGAGAAAAGAGGGGGTGGTGAGAGAAAAAGAGAGAGAGACTAATACTGATCCCATATGGTACATTGATTGTAATGTCTTGTTATTTCCACATCAGTGCCTTAAATTAAGCAACAAAGCCTTGGGTGAAACAACAACTGGTCAGATTGTCAACTTAATGTCCAATGATGTGAATAGATTTGATCAGGTGACTATCAGTTTATCATTTTTCTATATGTTTCATGACCTCTTATGTGTTTTCTCTAACTGATTCGTGCAGATTTTCGTTTCATATATAAACTTCTTTATCCCCAGTGTGAGTTTCCTTGGCCCCATTTTGGGGGTAAAAAGAATAGACACACTACCTCCTGACAAACATGTTGTAAAAATTGTTTACTTCGAAGGCAGAGTTCATCTGCCTGAGAGGCGAGGAACCAACAGTCTGCACACAAACATGCCAGATCTGTGAAACAAATGTGCATGCAGAACTCAGCATCTGGAACAAGACAACAGAAGTGAACGAACAACCAGAACTTTCTACCAAAGTTGACAGCCAGTTAACGCAAAGAAGTGAATCGTGAATGGTACAACTGTTTTGGAAGGGTCATAATAGATGTCCTAAGATCTCTTGTAAATATTAAAAGAGTCGTCATAGCAAAAGTCGCAAAATGCAAAACGTACTATTTAAAGGATGTCATTTGCAGTAAGAAACTGTTAAAGTGCTGCATGCAGCCTGTATGATTGTTGGCATGTGAAACATGGACAGTTGGCAGACAAGCTGGTTAAAACATCTGATGGCGCTGAAAATGTATATTTGAGAAAAATGCAAAGAATATCATGGGCTGACCCCCATACAAAACAGTGTAATAAAACGCATGAAACAGTTCTTCTTGAGACAGGTCCCTGTGTGGGTTCGGAACCCCATTTGGGGGAGGGGAAAGAATAGACAACCCCACCCCCACCCCCAAATCCCCCCGCCCATACTGTAAAAGCCAACTATTTAGGAGTTGAGAGGCGAGGAGTCCACAGTCTGTATACAAATAGTCCAGATATGTGAAGCAAATCTACCTAAGAGGCGAGGAGTTCACAGTCTGTATACAAATAGTCCAGATATGTGAAACAAATCTACCTGAGAGGCGAGGAGTTCACAGTCTGTATACAGATAGTCCATTTGTGTGAAACAGATCTGACTGAGAAAGGAGGAGTTCACAGTCTGTATACAAATAGTCAAGATATGTGAAACAAATCTACCTGAGAGGCGAGGAGTATCTACAAATAGTCCAGGGATGAGAGGCGAGGAGTTCACAGTCCAGATTGTGAAACAATACCTGAGAGGCGAGGAGTTCACACAACAAATAGTCCAGATATGTGATAGTCCATTTTTGTGTGAAACAGATCAGATCTATCTGAGAAGCGAGGAGTTCACAGTCTGTATACAAATAGTCCAGATATTTGAAACAGATCTACCTGAGAAGCGAGGAGTTCACAGTCTGTGTACAAATAGTCCAGATGTGTGAAACAGATCTACCTGAGAGGCGAGGAGTTCACAGTCTGTATACAAATAGTCCAGATGTGTGAAACAGATCTACCTGAGAAGCGAGGAGTTCACAGTCTGTATACAAATAGTCAGATCTACCTGAGAAGCGAGGAGTTCACAGTCTGTATACAGATAGTCCAGATGTGTGAAACAGATCTGCCTGCAAAACTCAAGTTCTGTAACAAGATCAGTCTAGGGGTGTATGGACAACTAGAACTTTATACTGGATTTTACAGTCAATGATCATGAAGAAAAGAAAGAGACAAGTAAACATCATAACTTGATTACAGACATAAAATCTAGACCGACAATAACTTTTTTTTTTAAAGTTACATTATGAGAAGAAATATAATTAAAATATAGATAGCAACTGACCAACCCACTGAAAAAAAAAAATGGCGGTATAGAAGACAAAGAGATCAGTAGCTGAGTGGTTTAGGCAGGATGAGAACACTGACATGATCTGTTTTTCTGGTGATTCTGTGAGATGGAGATTCATGACCACTTATGTTTATTAGCATGGCTCATGAAGATGATAATGAAATTTTTTGATAGTTATGTCTTAAAGTGGGAATCACCATGATGTAGCGGCTAGACGCTCGACGGAGGATCCAGAGGTAGTGTGTTCAATTCCAAACAGATCTGAACTTTTTTTCAGAAGTGACCTTGGCTCACAGGTTGACCCAACCTTAAGTGGGTACCAGGTAAAATCCTGGGAAGGAATGGTGGGCAGCAAGATCTTGACCATATACTCACAGAGTGCCGATTGGTCTATAAATACAGGTCTAGCTCTAAATGCCTAATGCACCTGAAGGATTGGAAAAGGGTCCTTTGATCCCCCCAAAGCGTTCTCTGTGTGTTTTTTTTTTCTAGTATATTATTAACAGTATATCGGTACATTACAGGCTGTTGTTTTCCTGCACTTTCTCTGGGTGGGCCCTTTGCAGGCCATAGCCGTGCTGGTCATACTTTGGCATGAGTTGGGGCCCTCTGTTTTAGCTGGATTCTTTGTGTTGCTGCTACTGATCCCTGTGCAGGGGTTTATGGGAAAATTATTTTCTAAACTCAGGTAGGTGCAGAAACATTATTCACATGTGTATTAGGGCTTGTTAAATTTAGATAGGAGCACTACATACATACTGGGACAGATAGTTTTAAATTATGAAAGCACTGTTACTGATCCATTTGATATGTGAAGCTGACAGGTTCAGGCTGACATGCATATTGACAGAAATAAAAAGAGATGGGAACTGTCATAAAGCCCAGGATAGAATTAGTCAGAATCCATGGCTCGAATTGTGAAACTACTCTAGGGAAATATCCCGAGAAGAAAAGAATTGATTTTCTGAGTTTTCTTATCCCGAAGCAAGGAATTAGGTGGTCAACTTTAATCTCTTCTTCAACAATTGAGTTAAGTCGTGGGCTATTTACCTAATTAGGGTGACCTTGCTTTATTAAATACTGCCCCCAAGAAACTTTCACTAATAATGCGGTTTACTTATATAAGAATGACGCACGATGACAACAAGATATTAATTTTCTAAACGTTTGAACTTGTTCTTAGAAACATTTATTCGATACTTTCTTCAATGATAGTTATACATTTCAAAAACCTAAATTTGCTTTATTTCTAACAATATTGATCACATAATGTATCAGTTATGACATCAGGTTCGAAAACAACCTAACCCTAAAAAGGTTTCTCTATACAGTAATTTCTCTACTCATCTCAGTATTTACGTCATAAACCTCTGGGTAGATTGCTGTTCGAATGTTTCTCTTAAAAGATTTCAATCTCACCTGCTTCTTTCTTCTTGGTAACTTTGGCCAGGCCATTGAGTTAACCGTATGTGTCGATTCCTCCCCACCAAATATATGGTTGACACATTCCGTTTCTGGGGACAGCTTTTATCGAGTTTGCTCTCTAGACAGTTGCAGTCCCCTGCTGACGAGATTCTGTCTTCCCGAGTGGACCTCCGCGATCAAAACATTGCGAAGGCAGCGTGGCCGAGGCTGCCAAAACTATCGGTCATTATCCTGCCCCGACACAGCACAACCACAATACACGCTGTTCCCACGAAAAACACATAATATCCTGCGTTGGAAATGCGCATAAAATAGCAGACCATGATTATGAAACAGAATAATCCAAGAGAATTGACAGCCAGCGAAAATAAACACAGCTGCTGTCCGCCATTTTGAAAACAGAAGTCCCTTGATAACTTTGATGTTCATGGTTGGTTCATGTTGTTTCAGATAGTAGCTTCTTAGGTGATGGTAACCATAACTTCGACACTTCTAAATTGGGATCACACTTCTCGACTAAACAAATATACATATACATATATATCTATACCAAATATAATATTCATTCTATGTGAACATATTCCTTAGTGTACAACCTGAAAATAATTACATAAATTGTGATTCCTATATTACTGTTACCCTTATCCATCTATCATATACATATATATCTCTGATCAGATTACCCCCATATTAAATACAAGCTGCTCAATATACTGAAACAGTTCAACAGCATACAAGTCCCAATCCTCTTTCCTAAGTTACTTTTACATATGATAAAATGCAAACAAGTATTCAGTGTCATATTTTTTACTTCTCATCTTAAGATTAAGAAAACATTAAATGTTTCTTATTTTCAACAACCAAAGTTTTAGTTATTATTTAAAATTCTTATTACAACAAATTCATCACAAGATATTTATTTCATTAAAATATTCTTAACGACTGAACAAAATAGAAAACTAAGGGTAGCTATTTAAAACTACACGAAGTTGTGCTTTTAGGCCAAACGCAAAAATCAAACAAGTTCTGATACACAAAGTAAATAATTCAAACTTCAGAGGTTCTCACCAACATCAGTTAGTTAGTTAGTTAGTTAGTTAGTTGGGTTATCCTCATTGCACTCCGGACATGTCCATAGGTGCTCAGATCCTCCCCTCAGTATGAACCCCAACGTCCGATGGCTAATAGTACCAGTTCTATGTTGATTAACAAGTCTTCTGGCGTAGCTGGTGTGCGTCTCGTTTTTTGCTGTGCCGATCTTAATTCCCAAGTCTGCCATTCTGGCGAGTGATGTGGATTCACTGCCACCAAAGTCCTCTATTTCTTCCCATTTCTCTGAGGGCATTTGATAATATCAGCATGATAGGCTGACCGTCGGTAGTGATAGCGGATCCAGCCACCTGTCAGCTCTTTCATTTCATCGACCGCCTGCGTGTCCCAGAACAAAAATAAAGGTGACTCCAACGAACAGTGGACTTCTGTAATGATTCAAGCCATTGTCTTCGCACTGAACCTGCCTGAACCCTCCGGATCATACTCATTGAATCACTGAGTATAACACACGCGGGTGTATTTTTGTTTTTCAAGCCAGCAACGCTTGTGTCACTTTCCATCACCTCCATCTGTCATGCTGCTGGTTGTCATGGAGAAGGCGCCGTTGGCTTCTTTGACTGTTCTGCCCGCTGAGCGTGCTGTAAATGCCCATGCGCTTCTTCTTTGACCAACATCAAACGAACTCAATTCAAAATGAAATGAATTACATCATTAAGTACACATATTCATACATACGTATATATATCTGTTCTAAACCAGTATCTATAGAATTTCACTCTACAGGCTAATAGTTTAACTATTACTTAGTTAAATCAATTCCGACTTCGCCTTTACAGAAAACTTAGTCTATTAGTTTAACCACCGCCCACCCGAAGGTAAACATCCGGTCAGCTTTGTCACTTCCATTCGTCTTTCGCTAAAATAACTTTATTTTCAATGGTAAAGAACATGCATAGTTCATATTAATAACATTACTTGTTTGGCTTCACCTTCTTTAACTGCTAATACCTACAGGACTTTAATATTTGTAAACAGCCATCATTTATAAAAAATCCAAGATATATTTTTATTATAAACATCTACTGAAACTGTTAACTATCTCTTTGTTCACTATGACCTTGTTTATCAATTTTTCTAATTTATTGTCTAGAGTGGATATCGGAATCAAAAAGTTTCCTCTCGCTATTTACAAAGTACTATTCCTATATCTTCTTTATAATTCTTTACAGGTCCAGATAATTTATTTTCTAATTATTCTTACGTTTTATAACCAAACTCTCTGATGTTAACCTTCTCCCATGATGTTATCTAATATATTTCTATGGTGCAGAACATTCTAGACTTTATTTATTAACTATGGGGTTTGAGGATATATATATAAGATTGCGTAATTGAAGCCACTTCATGACAGGAACCAACACATAAATACAGAGACAGACACATAGATATAGATAGAAAGACAGTTAAAGACACACACACTTATAGAAATCTTTATTAGCTTATTATAAGGTTTTGTTGAATCTAGATGGAGACACTAATATATAGACTACGATAGACTGGGTTTTTTTGTGTGTGTAAGGTTTTTACTAAAAGGTTTTGTTGAATCTAGATAGAAACACTAAATACAGACTAAGACAAAAATTTTTAAAAATTTTTTTTTATTATAAGGCTTTTATCATAATGTTTACTTTTAATTTCATCTAGATAGAAAAACTACAAACTACCACAAAGTGTTTTTAAAACATTTTATTATAAGGCTTTTATAATAAGGTTTTGTCATAAGGATTTTGAACATCAAAATTAGGCATGTCAATCAGCAGACATCATGAATGTTCCTTAAATAGTTCAGCTCCTTTAAGAGTTCAGCTGAATGGGACCTTTGACTGAATAAATCAGCATTTAAGCTAAAACATAAATCTCAGATTTAAGGTTTGTGTGGCCTCAAAAGAGGTTTCTGTATATGTAGGAGACATTCTGTCTCTTTAATAATAGTTTTCTCCTCTGCCTCTGTCTCATACATTTAGACACAAGACAGCTATCCATACTGATGAAAGAGTCAAAGTCATGAACGAGATCATTTCAGGCATGAGAGTAATCAAGATGTACTGTTGGGAGAAACCCTTTGGGGAACTTGTGGAAAAAGTCAGAAGGTAAGTGCCCATTGCTTTTCCTCACTTGCTGCCTAATTGTTAAAAACCATTCTTTATTATGAAGCTATAGATGATATTATATTAGTATGTAAACTATATATTTTACACATTGATCACTTGGACACATCCTGACAAGACACAAGTTGAGAATCACCAGACAGGCACTACAATGCTACAGTGGGAAATAAAGGGATTGGGGAAGCAAGGACACCCAAAGTAAAGGACTCTTCTCCACACCTTTAAGCGTATTGGGCGTATAGGGCTAGATCTATGGCACTGGGTGGGTGATGTGGTCAGCTTCATGCTGGCCTTCTTTACTTCCAAAGATTGTTACTGGTAACCACTCAAGGCTGGCTCAGCCTGAGAGCCAAGGTCATTTTAGAAAAAGTCAGGCTCATTTAGGACTTGAACCCTTGTCATTGAGTCCACAGGCAAGCGTCTAGCCACTACACCACAGCGGCTCTCAGGGACACCCAAAGGAAACCCTAAAATGAATATTGATCAGAGAAGCCAGTGGTGCTGGACTGGATTTCATCCATGATACTAAAGGGATTGCAGCAGATAGAACAGAATGGAGTATTAGACTGCGAACCCTAGGTGACATGTTACGACACAACAGGATATTGCTGATGATGATATACACATTGTGATGACCCTGCTTTGCATGGTCTCCACGCTCACAGCAAGTCAAGCAGAAAAATTGTGTGACAACGACCACGCTAGGAACACACTTGGAGCTGGAAAGGTAAGCGAGGGAAAGTCCGAGGTTGACTCGTGGTCAGTTGTGTACCAGAGTTGGAAGAGGACAGTTGTGGTCAATGTAGTTTAAATGAAATGTAGTCAACGTTGAGTCAATGATCATTGTGGCATAGTTGTGGAAGTAAACAGCAATGATTGTGGTTAATTGTGATGGAATCGGAGAAATAAAGTGGCAGAATGTATACTGGAATTCAATCGATATATGTACATTAAGCGGTTGTTTGGAATCTACAAAGAAGTGGTTTGGTAGGCGAATGAGAATACTAGGGACAGATAACAAGTGTAATAAAGATTTTCTTAATGAACCCCCAAAGAGAATTAACCTACAATAAAGGGAGACAATCTACATGTGGTTAGTCACATTTTGAGAATGGGATAACTGAAGTACATTGTGACAGTAGGAAAGTGGGAGGGGAAGAGAGACAGAGGAGACCAAGAGAGCATATGCTGGGTAGTCTTAAATATTATATTATTAGAACTAAACATTAATATGTTAAAACATTACATTATTTATTGACATTTGTATTGAATCTGCATAAATGCTTCTGAGAATAACTATAAAACTTATTACTGTTTTATCATGTTCATTCATATAATGATGTCCACAAACAGTTTTGTTTCTGTCAGATATTTCTAGATGTTTTTGAATATTAACTGTCTGAAGTTGTTGAATGTTATCAGCATGCCTTGTTCTTTTGCTGTAATATTTCTAACCCTTGTTGTGTTCTGATATGAATAAGACAATTTTTCTTCTAATTAAATTTTAGTTTAAAGCCTGCTGAATAAATGATTATATAATTTAACATGAAAAAGAGACTAAATATTCTTAGGTAGGAAATAGTTGCTGTATTTATATATATTAGCATAAGAGATGGTTTTCTTATTTGCATATTTTAACTTAAGGTATAACTGATAGTTTGTGTGCTTGTTTGCTTATTAATTGTAAGATAAATAGTAATTATTATGCTAATATACTTTATCATAAGAAATGTTATTGTAAACTAAGTAGTAATTATAGTTAAGTAGTGCATAATAAATAGTGTTTTGTTTTTACTATGAAACAAGCAGCTGCTAAGATGTTTTGATGTTTTAACACCTGAATAGTATAGTGTATGTATTTTAACACATGTAATAGTTGTATTTGTTGACATAAATAGGAACAAATATTATTATTAAAAAAATAGGTATACCTTTAACATATTATAATAGCTATATTAGTTGACTTAAAGAGGAAAACAAATTAGTATAAGAAAAAGTTATATTTTTAACACAGATAAAACTTGCTTTAGTGAACAAAAAAAAAAAAATAGGGGAAATGTATGCACGCTTTGGTATGAGAATTAGATCTATTCTGTTTACATTGGTAATATTTGCTATTGTTAACATAATTCGGAAAAATATGTGTGTTTGCACTTAAGTGTTAGGATAGGTAAACATTTTCAAGAGAGGTAATTGTTTCATTAGAAAATATAATTAGTAAACATTTGTACTTATCTAGAATAACGAATAGTTATGTTGATACATTTTAATGACAGTTACAATCTTATATGTGTATAAATAAACAGTAACAATATTTCTTTACATAAACTTCTCTTTACTTAGTTAAACATTTTAGTGTTATTTGTAATCAACGTTATTATTAAACATTGTGTCTAAATGAGCTGAACATATGTATATTAATTATGTCTCAATTCTTAGTGTTGTAGATATATGCTTTTGTTGATTTTTTTTTTTTTTTTTT